ATGTACGAGTGTTAATGTATGTCATACGTGTACTTAGTATATAATTATGTATGTGTATTATGTATGCGTGTTTTGTATGCAAGAGTGGTGTGTCTTCGGTTTTCACATTACTAGCTTATTACACCTATTAGCATATTACGAATGGCTAACGACTCTTCAACTAAACACTTAGAAAGTTCGATTTAAATTTGTCCCTATTTGGTATTCGATTTTCGATATCCCTACCGTCCTGCCATCCTGCCATCCACATCCACATAAGTATGCTACACCACGCAGCGTTCAATACAGTCGCGTCCTTGGTGAGTAAAATAAATGTTAACCCGCTGCCCGAACGCAATGAGAAATTCGAAGCTAAAGGCGGAAACGGCGAAATTGGCTTGTCCATGCGTTAACTGTTAAATTTAGTTAATGAGATTGTATTTATTCGGTGGATTAGTTTAACAAGTGTATGTGTGTGGTGTCAAATTCAGAACCCATTTCCGCCACACAGCAAACCCTAAATTAAAGACTGAACTAACTAAACTAAACTAAACCGATCAACGAAAATTCAACTAAATTGCATATTAACATAGCTATTATTATTAGATGAGGGTGTGGGTGGCCCGTGTCTGTGTGTGTTTTAATCAAACACAAGTCAAATCAAATTGCACAATTGCCCTGCGGTTTGGATTTAAGTGAGTGTGTGCGTTTCCTGTACTGTCTCTGTCCTCGAGTGTGTGTGTGCGTGTGTGTGTGTGTGTGTGTGTGTTTGTGTATGTGATGGCGTACAACCGGTTGGTTATTGTTATAAATGGAATCGTCATGGCTGCCACAACGGAGTGCTGATAAACTGCTGGTCCTGCGGAGCATATCCTGCATTCAAAAGGCCTAAGCACCAGCACACATACACCAACTAATTGCAGCCTGAAAGTATGCAATTACTGAGGACAGGGCAACTCGCTCGCATCTGGGAGCTTTAAATTGCTAATAAATTACTAAGGTCCCAGCCGGGCGGCGCTGCTCCCAGGAATAGGTTCTTGATCGGACCTCTGGGTATGTGTGTGTGTGTATGGGTTTACTTATGCTGCATGTCGGGTAACTAAATAATGTCTGCTAAATACCAGGCCTAACACACTAATACTCGTCTCGTTCGTGGGGGAAATGATTTCGAATCGAATTTCGTTTCTTGCAATTTCGTTTACGTTGCATTGTGGCTTACGTGTTCTTATGGTTTTTTTTATTTTACATACTTGCACACTAAGACATTAAGGTATGTGTGTGTGTGTGTCTGTGTGTGTGTTTAATAAGGAATCGTCAATATATATTTATATAGGTTTCTAATACATAATAGACATCTATTGGAAATTCAAACGTGCTAGCATTTGCTTATGTTAAAATTACTCATATTATTTGATTTGTATTAGTTTTTTTCAAAATTATCACCAGTAATTACGCATACGACTACACTATGCAGTTGTCCGTTTGCCCCTCAAAACTTTCCTTCGTCCTTTGTCTGTCTATGTCTGTGTCTCCTGGTTGTTTGTCTGTGTCTGTGTCTGTTGTGTAGTGGGTGTAATTTGTGGTGTAATTATGTAAGTATTCGCTTCTCATACATGTAATTGCATTACTAATAACGCCAAAGTAACTTCTTTGTTAATATTTGCGCATCTTGCTTAAGACTTGCAGGGTTTAAGATTTGCTTGCTTTTAAAATTGACTCGCGCTACCTCCTCTCTTATTAAAAACTATATTCGAATGTATATATGTGGATGTAGTGTCGTATTACTATGTATGTTATGATCTCTGATATATATATATATATATATATATATTTATATATAAATATTTATGTATATAAGTATTTGTATGTGTGTATGTAAGTATAAACTATAAGCCTATAAGAATATAGTTTTAGTTATTCATCTTTTATTCATTTGTTTTCATAGGTTTCTTTATCCTTTAGTTATTTCTTCCTTTGTTCTCATTATGCACATGCATTCTAGATTATTATGAATTCGTTTCGGTGTACAAAGTTCTTGTTTTGTTTAGTGTTTCTCATTTGCCTCTCGGGGTATCCAACTAAAAAACAGAAAACAATAGTAGCAAACCAAAGCTCTCACAGGATCGTAGATGTTAAGCAATCTGAATGCGGCTCGTAACTGGTAAGCATGTTCAAGCGGCACGGAAGTAAAATAGGTCGAAAAGCGCAAACCGAAGACGGAAACTCGCTGGTGTCGCTAAAAATCCTTGCTTCAAAAAGTTTGCAATATAAGGCTAAAGCTCAGTGAAAGACACTTTAGAAACTGGAGAGCATGGCTCCGCTGTTTCTCCCACTTTAAAGTAGTAATGTACCCAGTTTTCAACTCGTGTGTGGTGTCAGTGTTGCTGTTTCATAATTGGACGGTTTCACAAATTTTAATAATTTCATTTTGTTTTGATTTGATTCTTGGTGGTTGTCAATTCAGTATTGAATAAACTGGTCCATTTGTGTAGTTGGTGTCATTAGGCGAATTGACTAACGAACTAAACTCAATTCATTGAAAATACATTCAAAATATATGGAGCTGCCATTGGGAAAATGGCACTCCGAACGAACCAATGTTTGTTTGGGTGGACAAGTTCAAGAAAAATTGTGAGTTGTTACTTTAAAAACAGCACCTACCTTTTACCCCATGAGCATTATTCTTTTTTGGAGTTGAAAACTACGAGGCAATTGCAAACGTAATTTAAATGAACTCATAATAAATAAATCGCTACACAAAATGACATGCAATTAGCCAAAGCCAGCGGTTTGGGAAGGCCTTCATAACAAGTTCTTCTCATTGACAACCTTTAAATGATCTTGTTTCAATTCAACAAAATTTTGTAACGAAATTTGACTAATTTTCTTTTATTTAATTTCGAATGCTTTTAAATTATAGTTAAATAATTGCTACTAGGAGATTAGTTTCTTGCTAAATTTAGTTTTGGGAACGTAAGCGCAAAAACATAAAAAATTGTCCTAGTTTTCAAATTTTTGAAAATTGTGTTTTCAAATAATACTTTAAAGTAATTACTTATTATAAATTATACCTTATTTATCTATTTTTCGATTTTTCATCTTTGTTTGCTCTATATGCTTACATACAATTCTTATTGGCGTTTTCGTAGAGGGTTGTAAGGATTATGTCTGTTCGCAGTTTTGCTGCTTATTGAAAAGTGCTCCGGGTTTTAATATTTCATTTTTTACATTTACATTAGTAATGCCTAAATTGTATAATTTCAAAACTTAGGGCCTTAAATTTGAATGCTTCAAAATTTTGATATGTTCAAAATTCAGGATAACACTAGAGATTATTTGGCATATAATTTAGTTTAGGTTTATTTTCCATAGTCGCTGTTCTCAATACCCAAAAACAAGAAGAGAAAAGGATGTGCGTTGAAGGATGCTATTTAACTATACTTTGCTTTAAATGCTTTGCGAGTTTTCTATAGTTTAAAAGCAAATTATTTGTCATGTTTCAATTCCTATTAGAACATACAAAAAGCTGATGGTGATAAAATAAAAATACAACTGCCAGATTCTTTTACATATATATATTTATATCAAAATATGAGCGCGCATGTTACAAACTCTGGGCTTAAAAAATACGCTTTAAAAAATAACAACAAAATTTAAATATTAAATAAAACAAATCATATAAATACACGCATAAATATATTTATGATTTTATATATTTAACTGACATTGCCGTGCCTCCTTTTAGGCAAGTACCAAACGATTACACCAGCTAAATATATAAATATATTTATTTGTTTTGTATTTTTACTCACAAAATTAAATATAAGAAAAATAAACACAAAATAAATTGTGTTAAATGTCAAATAAAACTATTAACAATATAAAATTCAGATTACAATTTGTTTATTCGTAAATTAAATAGCTACCAAGTTTTTAATTATGTTATATTATATATTATTGTATTATAGTAATTTGTTTATTGATCTGATTATGATCTAATTAGGAGCTTTAAGATCGTTGTTGCTTTACGTTCTTAAAAATGAATATTTATCATTTATCATTTGTAACGAGATTATTTGCTTCTTTATATTTAACTCTCGTTGACATTAAATCATGTTAATTTTACAAATTAAGTACAATAATACTTAATTTTTAGAAAAATATTTTACAATTAAGGATTACAAAACAATTTACATAATAACTAAGACACTTGAAATAATTACACAAACTAGTGAGCGAAATGAGAAAACTGCAATAAATTAAATAGAACAAGCGAAGTCTCGTTTAAAGCCCAAATTGCACATAGTATTACCGATAGTTAAATGAATGAAATGATCTACGTGAATGCCCAACAATCTCGTCGAGCTGTGAACTACGCAAAGTGTAAAGAAAATTCGTTTAGCGGCCCTAGCATTATGTATTGTGTATTCGTTGATTTGCATTAAAAACAAATGTAGTATAGAACAACGCCCTCTGGCGGGCAGTTTCGAGCTCGGATCTCTTTGGGTCTCGAGCTGCCGACAGATGGAGCTTAAAAATAAAACGATACAATTCAAGTGAACTCATAGATTATGGTGTTACATTATTATCTTGCATCTTGCTTCTTGCATCTTTCGTCTCGATTTAAGTTTATATTATAGGTAATCTAACATACGCCTTTGATATGGTGTTGTTGCTGTTGCTTTATTGCTGATATCTTAATTCTTTTGTTTTCGTCTACTTTTATTCGCATTTGCAATACGCCCTCACCCATCTTTAGTAGTAGCTTTGCTTTGCTAACTTCACTTGGAGTTTTGAAATGTTTGGCTCTGTCTTCCAATTTTAAAACGCCTCAAAAATATGTTGTTTGTTGTATGTTTTCTGTCTGCATGTCTGAACGATGCTGTTTTTTAACTAAGCTAGATGCTCTTTTTCGATTTGCACTTAACTAAATTATGTTGTAGGTTTTCATCTTTTATCTTAGCTTGTTTTTTTTGTTTTTAATATTCTTTTTTGTTTTAGTTATTTTGCTTTTTACATTTAGTGTAAATTAAAATTAATTTTAATATAAATACAAATACATCTCATACATATAAATTTATGCCTTTTTCAACTTTGTAAATTAAGCACAAAAATTATGTTTACCATCTTGTCTTTTTCTTGTTTTGTTAATAGTAAAAACATTGGCTTGTGCAAGTTTTTAATTCATTCTGCTGCTCGTTTTACATTCGTTAAAATAAAAAACTGTTAAATCAACTGCCTTAAACGTGCTGCAGTGCTCGATTTTGCATAACTAAAACTAATAAATTTTATTTAAAATTGCTAAATTTTTGGTTTTAATTTACACAAATATTCCTTTTTCAATAAATATTTTTGTTAAGACTTTTTCTCACGCCCGAATACTTGTCTAAATATTGTCCAAAGAAATGTTTCCTTTTGTTGCACTAATAATATTTTCGTATCCAAATGAAAATCATGTTACATTACCTATACAGAAGTCTGCCGTGGGGATATTAAGGATAGGGGTATGTGGAAAATGGGGAAAATGGGTCGAAGGTCAAAGTGGAAGATGCGTGCATTTTGGGGCGAAGAGCGGGGGGTGGAGGGAGGGGATTTCTTGAGTTATTTTACCATGCTTTCGTGTTTTGAATTACAATTATTTATTTTTGGTTTAGTTTGTCGTTTTTTATCAATTAAACATTACATAGTTTACAATTGGTTGGAGTGATTCCATTTTCTTCTTTGCTGTTGTGTGAGAAAGTCCTAATGCTTCTTTTTAACAATAATAACAATTCAATTTTTGTATTATTTTTCTTGTGTTGTTGTTGCCACGCAAACGCATGTAATTCAATGTTAGGTAATGTGCATCAAGTGTGTGTGGCTTTTGAACGAGGCCATATCGTACATAGGCTGTCATACTAATTAGCTGAATTGATATATGGTGGAATTCAGTAAATCTATGCAAATGGCTCGTAGAAAAGTTACATGCGTTTGCGCCTAATTGAATTAATTGTAATTAGTTTTGCTTGTGTGTTTTCATTTTTCATTTTTCATTTGTTTGTTTGTTTCTTGCTTAGTTGATTTAGCAATCAATTTGTTTTGAAATTCCCGCTTTTCCTGTCGAATGTGTAAGCCATCATCAAGTGGGTGGATCGATCTGTTGTTGTTGAAGCTCCAGTTGCTGCAGTTGGTGGCACGTTTGTTGTTGCTGCATTTGCTGTTGCCGTTGTCTTTTGCTTGTAGTCTTCGACCGATTCCCCTCTCTGCCAGTTTTATTCTGTATTGTGTTCTAGTTAAGCCGGTTGTTGTTTGCTTTTGCTTACACAATCGTAATCAAATCTCAATTGTAGATGTCCACCTTGGTATCCACCTCGTTCTCCTTCTCGATCATGCCCTCGCTGGTCGCATTGTTCCAGGCTCCGTTCATGCTCTTGGATGAGGAAAAGCACAGCTTCATGATGAATGGGAACTTGGTGCCTGTGTGGGGAGAAGGGGGAGAGAGCACGCATAAAATATGTATAAGGTGGTGTGGTTCCTTGGCGAAAACAATGGTTATGCTGGCATATTTATTCATTAAGTTATGGTGTAGTATAGTGTATAAGTGTTGTATATTCTTGAATTTAGTTTTATTGATTTTGCAAGCGCAATCTTCGATTGTGCGAAGGTATTGAGCGATTGGGGGGTTGAGCGATGGGTTGGAAATGAATAGGGCCTATTGCCAATTAGGGACCGGCTGCATGGCTGCATGGAACGAACCTATGCCGAGCAATCAGAATCTGAATCAGAATCAGAATTAAATGCGAAAACAGCATTGTGGCACACCGTATGCGTGTGCATATGTTCGATAGAGGGTGAAAAGAGCCATATATTTGCTTTTAGCATAATTCTACCGCCTGAAAGTACGCAGTGTGGCATGCACTTGCATTTGCATTTCCATTGCCATTTCCATTTGCGAAAGAGGGCATGGGCATGATGGTCTAGGTCTAGGTATTCGTGGGATTGTGTTTGCGTTCCTTACACTTTTAATTACTATTTACCATGCACTCGAGCAGCCCTCGCAGCAGCATCACAAATGCGCCAACGACAAATAATCAAATCGAGGATATCGGCAATTTATGCATGAGCATTGAAAAGTCCTGTTGGCCACTTTCCTAATCGATTTCACCAGTGCTGTGTATAAGCTGTTTTTGAGGGAACTATTTTTCGGCTGAGTTTCTGCCCGAGCAAGTGCAATGCCAAATATTCGGGATGTCAAATGAGTGTTGCCCATGTAAACATGCTCATAAAACGCCCGAGTTGGCGGAATAGTAATTTGTTTGCGGGCCAACCTGCTGCTGGTGAAATATTTATGCGAAAACTTTATATCGGTCGTCAAGCCATTTGTAAACGAGCCGCGAGTCCTGAGACTAATTGTTAGAGAAATCCTGCCGGCGGGCTGGGTGGGGCGACCCATTTGTGACTAACTGCAAACTGAAATTGTTTATCTTAATTACCAAATTAAAATTTTCATCGCAGGCAGCGACGTTACTAAAAAGTTTCTTGCCCAAAAAACAACGCAAAGAAGCACGAAGGGTTAAAGTTTGCATTGGTGGATGGTGAATGGTGTTGGTTTTTCCGTTCTGGGTGCTGGGTGATGCTTTTCGGTGGCATTGGGGTGTGATATTGACGCGTGGCTGCTGCACAACAGCACAAGTCGAAGGGCCATGCAAAATAGCTGCCGAAACTTTTGGCCAGGACTTTTTGGGTGGGCGAAAAAGTTACGTTGCCTACTTATTGGGGCGTAGGATGCAAAGGATTTTAATGAGAATGAGAGATAGAGAGAGAGTGAGAATTTTGTGTAACTTTCTTTTTTGGTTTTCGGAAGGGTGGCCACATAGATTCGACTTTCATTTTAATAACACTTAAACACAACACTATCTCACCTTTACCCTCAATAGGCAGATGGTTGCACTTCATGATGGCCAGCACTGCCTGCGAGATATTGGAGAATTCGATCAGGCCCGACGACGAGCGCTCGGTCTTCAAGGGGAACAGGCGCACCGATGTGGCGGGCACGTCCTTGATGTTGAAGATTCCAATCAGTTGGTCCTCGGTCAAGCCGGGCGGTGTGTTGAAAAAGTGCAAAATCTGAAAGGGCACATATAGTTAGTTGTGATGCAATAGCAATGATGCAGGCAAATCCTACCTTGCTCGGTGGTTGAATGCGATTCTTGCTGGCCTGGGCCGGCGATAGGAAACGATTGTTCTTGGAGCCGGTGTACTCCTTGAAGCTGGGCGAATGGTCGGGCAGCAAGAACGGATTGATCACCTCGGATAGGAAGTTCTGCTTGGAGAAAGCGATCTGTATCTTGCCACCACTGCCCACGGGAATGTTGTTCAGGTGCTGCACGCAACGCTCCACGGCCACCGCGTCGCCCATTTGCACCATGGCGGTGCCCTCTTTGGTCTTCAAGAACTTGATCTGCAAGTGAGAGATGGAGGCGTTAGAATCGCAGTTAAGTCCCATATGCTCGCCGCCATAATTGTTGCAACCCACAAGTGACGCCGGTCACCTGCCACAATTGAATTATGTGCCCCAGCTGGCCGGCACTATGGAGTTGATACCAGATTCCCACACTACGTGTTATCACCCTGCCCAAGGGCGACTCGGGCTGATTGAATTCTCTTGTCGCTGTCATCTCTCGCACTTAACCCAATATTTCAGGGGCGTGCGGAGGGGAGGGGAGCGGAGTTCTACATTTTCGTTCAATTCAATTTAAAATTTCCTTCAAACGCAATTATTTAACAGAATGGCGTCCTTAATTCTCCATTCATTGTGTGACCTTCTGTGTGTGTGTGTGTCATGCGAGTGTGTACGCCCATCTCAGCCACACCCACAATGGTTTTAGCCCTGCTCCGCCTCATATTGGGTCATCAAAGTCAGTCGTGTACGTGCCCAATAGCCAAAAATAGCTGGAAAATATTATCATTGCCTGTGATTTTCACTTGACAAATATTCGAAATATCATTTGACACTTTCTTGTATTATTGCGTGTATGGGAAATCGAGAATGCTGAATACGCACAAGTTGCAGCTGAGTTTAATTGGATTGGAAGATTTCCAAGTATAAGATGGTTATGTACCAAAGTAGAAACTTTGGTAACCATTGGTTTTTCCTCGTAATCCTTCACACCTCGCTGCCAGCGTTGCGTTATAAAAGTAATTGACCATAATAATTTGCAAAAGAGTAATTACGAAAGAGTCGGGAGAAAGTGAAAATCAATGGAAATGCTGGCGGCTCGGCTTGGATAATTCGCCGTTCATTCACTCGCTTCGTTGGTTGGTTGACTGACTGCATTGGCAAATCAATTTTCTGGCCGCCGGCAGGCATTGAACTCAGTAGTGGAGCTGCCTTTTGGCCAAAAGCTGAAACGAGTTTTCGCAGTTGGTCAGCAAAATGGGGAGCAGTGGGCAGAGGTGGCCAGAAAGCACCTGTCCAAATTGGACGACGGCCACTGCAATTTTGTTTTCCAAATGCCTCAATTTGGCGTATTGATGTCGGGGCTGAGTTTTTTTTGTTTGCTATCTAGTTGCACGCACTGAGAATCGAGCTTGGCATTTGGTAAATTTTTCGCCAATTTGATCAATTTTCCACCCGGTTTGGGGTCAACCGAATTTAATTATAGCTGCAGGCACTTGATCAAATTAAAGAACTGCGCAGGCAGTAAACAATTGTAAAAACGTCAAAACTCCTCGGGGCGTTGAATTCAATGCTCTTTGCTGCACAAATTATGGGCTCGTTTAATAAATTATTCAATTATTAAATACGAGTGTCACCCATGTCCTTGGCATACCCAATTATATTATAATGAACTGCAAACATTTCAAAGCAAACTAAGGCAACTGCGGACGGGGCATGGCGGTCCGTATGTAAATGGAGCAAACAATTTGCTTATAATTAAACCAAACCCCCTGACACATCCGCATGCAACTATTCCAACTAAAGTGGGACGCAATCAAAATGAATACGCCTGAATGGAGTACAAATGGTAGGGGAAAGCTGCTGGCTGGGAAAAGGCAAATAAAAACTAAATGAGGCTTATCGAATTCGAATACAAATACGAATACGAAACAGAAACTGTAAGTGAAACGAAACCCAGAAGCGAGACACGAAACGGAATCATAAAAATAAAGCAATGTATAAAAATAAATATAGACCATAAATCAGTCAAGCAGAAAGCGAACAGATACTCCTGCTGAATCCCCTGGAAACAAAAGGATAATGAAATTACGAACATGCAAACATAAGGCCCACAGATATACACTGTAAATTTAAATTAAATTGGTAAATTTAATCATATATGGATGTACCCCCGAGGAGCTCACAACTTCCATGGCTTTTTTCCAGTGCACATAAGCGCTGGCCAGCAGGATTCTTTTGGCCAAATCAAAGAGCGCTTCATGGCTGGATGGTCAGCAGCAGCAGCCGCAGCAGCGGCAAACATTCGGTGCGTGTCTAATGAGCTGTGCTGTACTACGCCGCTCAGTCACCCCCCCAGAGTTTGCCCACTCCCCACGCCCTATGACCCCTAATGCGACGCCACTGCGTTAATTAAACTGCGACCCTCTTTCGCCCGAGAACGCTTTGTTGTGCAATGTGGCATGGTGTCCGCTCTGCCATTTGATTTAATTGCTCACGCGCAACTCGAAAGCAACAGCATTGGCTGAGTGACCTATGCTCCCATAGCACCCCCATCCCCACCGAATTGGATACCCAAAATACAACCCCCGCATTGTATCCAAATGTTTTTTTAATGCGTATTTAATTGAGTGCGTGTACTTCGCTTTTGGCCTTTAAAGGACCCACTCCAGTGAAAACCCTTGAACCTGCCACGCAGATTGCCGATGAAGTTCTCCTCCTGTCCTATTTTTGTCATGCCATTTAACCTGAAAATCAATTTGGTGATGACTTCATCGCCCGGACCCAGAAATAATTAACCAGATTGCTTCGTTGGGGCGGAAGGAAACTGCTCGGCAATATTTTCCTTGGGGTGGCAAAATTGTGGAAATTACAAATCGCAAAATGCAAACACAATTCAAGGAATTCCCCTGGGTCCATCGTGTTTCATATTCGACACTTTTGGCAGCCCATATCGACACGTAATTCGTCGGGAGGTTAATCAAATTTCTTCCAGTAAACTGACTATGCCAAGCCGTATTAGGATCAACCTTTGAAATCATATACTACGAGTGCCCGCTGCCCGGAATCCAGGAGGTTATTATAGGGCATTCGGACTTCGTTCAGCATAGTTCAGGGAATGTTTTTCCTTGGGAATCCCATTAGCACTGGCACATGGTGTGCCGAGATGCTGGGTGGGTGTGTGGCAAGGAAACTCATGCAACGGCACTTTGATTGAGTGGCCATCAATTTCTCATTCGCAATTCAAACATGTCGGCCCATAAACTCGCAGATACATCCAAACAGACCCACACACTCAACATGTGTACTCTTACACACACACCACGCCCATCGACTTTATAATGAGGCAACAGCTTTGGCGCTGGCTTTTCACTCAGTTGCATAGCGACAGGCGCAGCGAACCGAGCATTTTCCGATGGAGGAAAAGCCCGGGCAAAAACCGAGCGAGTGGGCGGCACAAGGAGCAGAATGTATGCTTTCGGCTTAGCCGTCCGGCCGGTGAATAATGTTTGCGCATAATCATTTTTAATGGCTAATGAGTAGTTTCCGTCACGGACAGGAAGTTGGCAATAAATTTGGCCCTATGGGCATCCACCCCCTCCCCATCCTCTCCCCTTTAAGCCAGGGTGCAAGTGTCGGGAAAAGAAACTGAACTAAAAGGCTGCGCCTTGAATTATCGCTGCCACCCAGCCACTAATGTACTGGTCAAATGAGTGCCTTGCGAACACTGTGGTTGCATTGGTTTGGGTAAGGAATGAAAGCAAAGGTCAGTTAAATTCAGTTTATCGCTAATGGAGGTCAGTTGGCATATGCAAAATGAGGGGAAGTGATGCAAATCGATTTACATTCGTGCACAAATCCCTGGGATGTTTTTTATTCACTTCCATTCGCTTTGTATTTTCTGCTACTCATTGGGTAATTGTGGTTCGAAATACTGTACGACATTCGCTTTCCTAATTAGAGGGAAAAACAACTGAAGCTCTGTACGACACACTGGGAACTCCTTAGCGATATAAATCCTTTGAAGGATTGAAAAACGTTCGGCTCCCAGCTCCTTCAGTGTGTGCAGTGAAAGTGGTTCCTGCGGTTTCCTCCAGTCGCCTTGACTCGCTTTATCACAGACATAAACTAAGCAAAACATGTCGGGGAGCCAACCAAGTGGGGAACCATTCTGCCCCCTTGTCCTTGGCGAGCGCAATTGTCAAAGGACACACTCGCACATACACACATACTCACACACACTCGCTTGAGGGGGCGGATTCATAGTAGCAATAAAGTGAAAGCTTGGCACACCAAAGAAGTTTTTAGCATTTGACTTTCATGTCGGCGGCACTCCCCACAAGCTCATTGTTCGGTGGGTGGTTCAGTGGGGCGGTGGTTGGGTGGTTCAGTGGTTCAGTGGTTGGGTGCCTTAGATAGCTGCACTAAATGCTCCCCAAGCGAGTTTTCCTTTTCGCCCGCCGACTAACAATGAGCACATTCGCCATTCGCCATTCGCTTTTTAATGGATTCTTTTTGGTCGTCATCGTGTTTTGATTTACAGGCCAAGACTTGACTTGCCAATCGTTTGCCCATTTTTCGAGAAGTAAGGGTTGGCATTTTCCTCATTGTGCCCCACAGCTAAAGCTGATGACGCTGCACTGATTGCTGTCCCGAGGCGGAGCACCGAAGAAATGCCCACATGGCGGGGATATTAATCTAAAGCGCTTTATCTAAATGTGTTTTGCCAATCCGACTGGCCCATCGTATAATACAGCCAAAGGTTCCACTGGCCTCGCTCCTTTTATTGCCTTTCGTTTTATTTGCACTCTTACAAATGGCACACAGACACAAAGTGCTCTGCGGTTGGATTTCCCAGCCAAAAACACCTTTTCCCCCCATCGGCCGATATTTCGCAGCAAAGTGCTGACAGCCAAGCAAAACGGCGGCAATGAAATGCGTATTTCCTACTTTTTGTCAGCTTTCTGGCTAAGTGCAAGCTGAGGGTATTTCCCACAATGCTTGCTTTCACCAAAAGGTCATAAGCAAAAGGGGTTAAGGAGTGCGTGTCCCTCAAGTGGGCGTTATTGGTTACTTGGAAGTCAATAAAAGCGCTCTTCCCATATTTTTAAAAGGCTCGTTATTGTTTTAGCTCCTTAAAAGTATTACAAAATCCCCAAAAGTAAATACAAAAGGTTTCAACTTACCCGTGCCACGTTGCCGTACAGGCACACCAAATTGAAGAGCTTATCCGTGTTGGAAGTGTCGTGGTCCAGGCCGTAGACCATCATGACGGCGCCCTGGAGATTCGGAGCAGGAAGATGGCAAAGACAACAAGAGTTAATTAAAATTCGGTTCCGATGTCTTGATCAGAAATTGTGTACAGATAAGAATTGTACTTTTTTGCACACCATTTTTTTGGAATCTGGAGCATGGGCACTGGAATACTCACCTGAGCCTGTCCTTGCGGTGTGAAGGCCACCGGAGCATTGCGTCCGGGCACAACACCGGCGGGCTCCTTCATCAGTCCAGTGGGATGGATGGCGGCCCCCTTCCAGTTCTCCGGTGTGGTGGGATGATATTCTGGGGCTCCGAATGGCGGGAACGCGGCGCCGGGTCCCAATAGCGGTGGCTCTTTAAATTGACAAAGATTGTGCGATTGAGCTGGGGCAACTAGTTGATGGTGGTGGTGAAGGTGTTGTGCTTGTTGTTGTGGTGCTTGTTGTTGATGTTGTTGTTGTTGTTGGAGGAGGTGTTGGTGGTGGTGATGTGTCGGTGGAACATGTTGTGGTGGTGTCGGCAGTGTTGCAACTGCGTTTTTGTACAATTGTGTTTTTTTGTTTTGGTTATTCAATGCATGCAACAACAATAAGCGATAGCAAATTAAAAATGAAACGAAACAAAAGATAAACGAAAAACATTTCTTGTTAATAGTGCCAATTGTACATAAACCAAAACTTAAAGCTAGCTAAATTATTGTTGTTGCATGAGTGTTTCCAAAAGCTGAAGAGTGCCTCCTCGCCCCTAATATCAAATCCTCAACCGTAAAAGGAAACCACGAAACTCGGCTTATAGACATAACTCGTGGACCAGGGACGGATTTCCACGGGGGATCGAGTGCTGGAGCTGGAAATTTTTGGCTGCGGTTTTCGGGGAAAATGGTGGCCCCTTTTATGCCGGCTGCGGTTTGGCATGTAAGTTAATTGAATTTTTGGCTGGCGTAGGAAAAAATGTGCAGAACATACAGCCTATTCCATTTTGCTGGCCGGCCAAACCAAAGAGTGCCATCAAAATGGAACCACTCGGCATGGGTATTGGTATTATGCCATTCGAGGCAACGCAATAACAACGAGGCAGGCAATAACAAAGTTCGGGTTGAACCACAAGCATCGCAAATCTGCCGACGTCTTGTAATTAAAGCGAAAACTACGAGGAACTACGACCAACTGCCAAAATGTCGCGCCAAATATGGCTGAGACAGCTCGCTAGTTGGCAGGCAGGCATTTAATTAAGTTTAAAAGTGTCGCCAGGCAGACACACATGCTGCTACTTTTTGGCCTTGTTTAAACCAAACACTTTAACTTAATCACTCGCCAAAGTTGAGCAAAAAATCGAGGTGGAGAGTCGCGTTGGGAACTCAATTTGCATCGTGCTTGTTATGCCAAAATGGCTGCCCGAGTTGCCATTTCGGAGCTGTTTTTGTTTTGATTTGATTTAGTTGCACCACCACGTCGTCCTGCCAGAAAAGCCAGCAAACTCTGTGGCTTCGCAATGGGGAGTCGAATGGTAGTGGTATTCGTCCTCTCGTCACGGCTGGTTTATTTTGGACTTTGGGGCTACCTGACAAAATATTTGCATAAAAATCCATACACACACGCTCGGTGAAAAGTTAGCCAAAAAAGTTGGTGTTTGTGCAAAAATGCTGCCACTTTTATGTTGGCTGTCCACTGTTCCACTGTTTTTTTCGCGACCAAGCGGAGCAGCGAGTCCCATGCAAACAACACAAATTGATGCAATTTTTCACAAGCCCCTAATCCGTTTGAATTTACGTGCGAATTTTAAAGCGTTGCGTCCCCAGGAAAACTTGGCCTAAGCACGTTTCAATACCCAAAACTTGGCCATAAGTAAATAATCCTATGCCCATGGAACCTCGGGCAGTTTGGCTAAGGGAATGTTTGGGTTTCGCCACCCCAAGTCAATAACAATTCCGAATAAAGCAAGGCCCAGCCAAAACATAGTTATTCATTTCAAGTGCGGAGCGCCCGCTGGTTGGCCTTTAATTGAAATTCACCGCCTTGGCTGATTTGCTGCAACACGGGGCGTATGCGTGACGCCAGCCAAGCGAAATTGCCAACCCCAGCTTCCGTTGTTTCCCCCTCCAGTTTCTTGGCCAAGAAAAGAAAATCACGTCCCCGGCTGAACGAAGAAGAAGAGAACTAGCACTACGACGTAGGCGGAAGCGTGCCTAAAATGTTTAAGCATTTGGGGAATTGTTGCATGCAATTGCTGGAAAATGTTTCACACGCAAGGCGTCGAAAAGGTGGAGCGTTGGCTTAGAACTACTGAGCAGGTGTAAATTTTCACCGCGCACAAATTATTTTAGATTATGTGTTCGTCGTGCAGTCGGAAGTTGGAGTTTAGTTTCGTTTTCCACGAAGTATTTAGTGTGAGTGTGCGCGTGCCAAATAACCGCAGTCATTTGCATACAGAAATGTGGCCATGTGGATTACGTATACGACACGTGTGTCGCGATTAAGTGCTTTGTTGGTTTGCAATTAGAAAACCTTCGCTGTCCACTAATATAAATACGAGTAAGCGCGCAGCTGGAAATTTAGCATGTTGGTGCAGCAAGTATTTAAGTAAGCCTTGCAACAATGCCTTGACAACAGGACAAAATAGATGGTGCACAACAAAGAACGCATTTCTTCCTCCAAAACCACAAAGCGAGCTCCACAGAAATCCATTAAAATCCAGCCTCAGTGTGTGGGCGAAAGTGGGTGAAAGTGGGCGAAAGTGGGCGGGGCTGTACCGAAAGCTAGGTAAATAAAAAAGTACGCATGTAGCCACAGCTCGGTGGGCGGCGATGGGTGGTCCACAAAGTATTTATGCTGCAAATTGTTGCATACTTTGTGTGGCATATTGGCACACTTTGTCAGCAGGCACTGGGGGAATTGGGGATTGGGAGCGATAGATACATTCGGTCCAATGCACAGGGTAATGGCTGGCAAACAAACAACATTCCCCACCGCCCCCTGTACGCCTTAATTGCAATTTGCTTAAATGTATGCTACAATATATTTCAGCTGCACTTCCAGTCCTTTTTGCAACCCACCTTATCTGCCCGGCGCGTTCAATGATTTTCAATTTGTTAGAGTCAACTTAGGAACTGTACTCGATGCGGAACTGTACTGCAAAATATGCCAAGAGTCACCCGTTTATCTTGCAGCATGCACAGCGTGCCACGCCCAGTCCCTCCCTGGCATTTTCTCCCCTGTTTTTCCGACTCGCTCGTTCGCTCGTTCGCTCGTGACATTAATTTTCCCCCAACGCCCCTCGACTTGCGCTCACATCTCACATCTTGCATAAACATTTCCATAAGCAGCTTCAAAATTGAATTTGTTTTCATAAGCAAAACTATTATGTTGGCAAAGAGTTGGTCCTGTGTGTGACATGATAGCGGAGCAGAAGCGATGAACCCCAGCGCAGAGCTTATAAAAAATAATCGTAATGGAGCAGAGATAGCGCGCAAAGAAAAAAAAAAAAAATATAGTTACTACTACTGCCACATGTAAGCTGGCTGATTATGTGACAATGGCCCTGATTGGTTTTTAATGCTCCCAAAAAACTTGTGCTCCACTTTTCTCCTCCGCCTAAGCCTTTAACTGAATATAAAAGTCAGGGAAATGCCAATGCTTATCAAAAAGAAATCAAATGGCACGGAGACAGCGACCCACGGCAATGAGCCAATTTATATGCGATACGCGAGCACCATTCCTTTGTGGAAATTAGTCAGATAAGCACGCCCAAACCCACGAAGTGGTTGGAAAAAGGATTGCGTACTTTTTACGGCAGCCTTGGAGCGGGAAAATAAATTTGTGCTCAACTCTCGTGAGCTTAATTACGTTTACGGCGGATTTGAATAATATAAACGCATGTAATTGCCGTTTGCTTATGTACTTTCTCCTCCACTCTTCCAGCAAACAGACAAAGACAACAGACAACATAAAACGCGGCCAAATACAACATAATTAGGAGCACGGCGATGGCATCCTGCTCATAGGGATTTATAATATAATTCATGATCACACGAGTCGCCATATGTGGGGGTTTGCTTAGCAAATTGGCACGACTTGGCCTTTAGTTTGGCCTGTGCTCTCGGTTTCGGTTTTGGCCAGGATGAGGAGCAGGGAGGACCTCCTTCGGTGGCTTCGCCTAATTATCGCATTGGTAAACATTTGACCACCCCCGATGCCTTAATGGCATGCAAACACATATGCAATCAGTACCCGCAAGCCACGCCCACACACTGCCAGCCAAACGCCCACTTATCGGCTGGAGAGTTCTTGACTACAAGCCCTCCTCTCGAATTACCCAATTCGGTGGACGATGCAGTTGGCCAAGAGTGCAAAAATAAATGTTGAGTGGGTGACATTTCGAGCGCTCAGGGTTCTCAATGCGATATAAGCCGGCTCGAGAGGGGCACTACAACTTTAGTGGCCACCCTCGTTGCAAAGACGCTTGTTTGTTGTGGCTGATGTATTGACTTTGTGGGTGGTGGCATAAAAGCAATAGCCCGCCCACTTTCAATCAAACTCCGTTGCATGCGACATTTTGAAGCGCTTTCCTAGTTAATGGAGCTCCGTGTGTAAATATACTCTGCACATTTATGATATTCATATATAATATCTGTACCCCAAACTATCCAAGTCTGAGGAAAAATTCTCTTTTTGCATTGCACAGCCACGCTCTCATAGCAAACTTGGTTTTCGCTTTGATAAAGTTTTTCCACGCTGTTTTCCCGCCTTTATCAGACAGGGGAAAAGCGAAAATCGATAATGCCATAAAAATATAGCAAACAATAAGGAAAAAAGTGCCGGACAACTATGGCAAAGTGCGATTTGCGTTGTGCAGCTGGGGGGACAATTTCGATATTGTAATTTGGAAAATTGCACGATTCTCTAAGCGAAAGATGGATAGAGGGCAAAAACTGCAAGAGGCAAACGCATTAGCAAAATGTCCAATTAATTGCGTTAGAAAATTACACCAAAAGTATACGAGCACGGCTGACAAAAAGCTGCCAGCGTTTTTTACTCCTCTCTTTTTCTCATCAAGACTGGCCAGATGCTAAATTAATTACAAATTATTAAGGGTGGAGCAAAAAGCAGAGAAAGGAAACAAAAAGTGAGAAGGAGCAGCCGTGTCCTGCATAAATTATGCAGCAAAATGGTGGTTTTTTATGTTTTGGTTCATGAAACTGCAAAGTGTCCATATTAAAGAAAATCATTAGGCATTGTAAGTGGCCATATTCCGGTGCTACCTTTTTGGCGGCCCAATTTAAATGCAAATATTTAGTGGTAGCAATAAAAAGGACCCACAACCAACCTGACGTCTCGCAAACGAATCAATTGCAAAAGTAATCAAAACGGCAAACAATAAAGCCTTCAATAATACCGCAGAGCGCTGATGAATGGCCGGCTTTACGGCATTAAGAATTGCCATCGAACTGCTGAAGGGAAATTCAAAACTCGTAGCACTTCCGGGTATACACTTCTCCGATATGGTATGGCCAGTCGTCGCAGTCATCAATCACT